GATAGCAGGTGGCAACTAAGGCAATTTTCATTTGTAAAGAAAAGGCAAGCTTACCAGTTCAAAAGGACTGTCATTTATTGGTTTTCCTACAATAGGAAATTCAAACGTCATAATAGATCAATTCTGTTTTACCTAGATTTCTGATTACTATTTATCTTTTAGAACTGGCCCTAGACAAAACCTCCCTGTGTGCTCTTCTCCCTTCTGCCTATTACCACTTTCCTTAGAGATGGTTCTTCAAACTCTCTTCCTCCTCTGCTTCAGAATGATTATTATCCACAAGCTGAAAATGTTTTGATTCACACTATACTTATATGCCACTTAAAAGGGGATGATCCTTACTATAAAATTTTAAAAAGTACAACTTTAGGCAGCAATGACAAATGAATTGGAGAGGTATTTATTTATTTATTTATTTTGAGAGGCTTTTGCTATAGGGCGTGTATGCTCGCCAGAAAGACAGAGAGAGACAGAGAGACAGAAAGTGAGAAATCACCCCCTCCAGGGGGGATGGCCACATCACAATCCCTTCTCCTCCATTCTCCTCTTGGGATCTTGGGCATGCATGCACATGCGCACAGCATGGGTTTAAGCCACCAGGTCCGGGACTCAAACCGTGGTCGACCACATGGTAGTCCAGAGACATAGCCATTATACCAACTGCTGGTCCCTGGAGAGGTATTTTGAAGCAAGGTCTTTATATTCTTCTTAAAATCAAACTGGCAGGTGTTTCCTTGTCACTTAATGAGTAAAAGCTGCCATGGCCCTCAGAGATTGAAAATTAGGAAATATCTTGAGACTAGCAGATGGCGTAATGGTTATGTTGGTGGACTCCCATTTGGCTGAATGCGGTTTGAGTCCTCAACCAGGTGACTCGAAACTCATACCAGGTGACTCGTGTGCATGCATGCCTAAAATTCCAAGAGGAGAGTGGAGGAGAAGGGATTGAGGCATGATCATCCTCCCTGGGGGTTGATTTCTCATTTTCTGTCTCTCTGTCTCTCTCTATCTCTCCAGTGAACACACATACACTGTAACAAAAAGAAAAAAAAAAGAAAGAAAATTAGGAAATACTTTAAGACACCATTAAGGTAAAGTCACTGGATACTCTAAAATGGAAGGAAGTGTTTAATGATAGTTATCTTGGGACCAGCAGAAGGTGAAATGGTTACATGCTGGAGTCTCATGTAGTTGACTGTGGTTTGAGTCCTGGAACCGATGGCTTAAAACTCATGCTGGGTGCATGTGTGCGTGTGCCCAAAATCTTGAGAAGAGAATGGAGAAAAAGGGACTGTGGCATGGCCATCACCCTCTTGCTTTCTTTCTTTCAGTCTCTGTCGCTCCAGTGAGTGCACAGGCCTAGCAAAAATCTCTCCAAAAAAATAAAGTAGTTATCTTTTTTTTTTTTTGGAGAGATTTTCACTGTAGGGCGCGTGCGCTCGCCAGACAGACAGAGAGAGACATAGAGACAGAAAGCGAGAAATCACCCCCCAGGGGGGATGGTCACGCCGCAATCCCTTCTCTTCCATTCTCCTCTCGGGATCTTGGGCACGCACGCGCACGCGCCCGGCGTGAGTTTTAAGCCACCGGGTCCGGGACACGAACCGCGGTCGACTACGTGGGAGTCCAGCGACATAGCCATTACGCTAACTGCTGGTTCCCCAAAGTAGTTATCTTTTATTGAGTAATTAAGTCAGGTTTTGTACTTTCTATCTACCAGTATTTACATATTGGGTCTTCCAAAACGTCATGACACATTTTTGCATTAAAAAAACATAGAAAACTGGAACCAACAGTTAGCGTAATGGCTATGCTGCTGGACTCCCACGTAGTCAACTGTGGTTCGAATCCCGGACCTGGTGGCTTAAATTCATGTGGGGCGCATGTGCGTGCATGCCCAAGATCCTGAGAGGAGAATGGAGGAGAAGGGATTGCGGCATAGCCATCCTCCCTGGGGTGTGGGGGAGAATTTCTCGCTTTCTGTCTCTCTGTCTCTCTCGTGAGCGCATGCGCCCTATAACAAAAAACCTCTCCAAAAAAAAAAATAATAATAAACATAGATAACTACGTCATGACTTTTCCCAAGACCCAGTATTTAATCCTTTTAACAACTTGAGATGGGTACTAGTATTATTCTTCACCTTTTCACAAAGGAGGCACAGAAAGAGTAAGTAAGTGTCTAAAGTTGCATAGCTATTAAGTGGCAAAACCACCAGGATTTGAACCAGACAGTCTGGCTTAAAACACATGCTCTTGAACTCCGTACTGTGTGGCTGGAGCCCAACCTGGCAGATCATCTCACCGTACTCAGCCAGTGCTGCTAACCATTTCTTCTTTACCACCCACATGCCCATCATTCTACTTACCAAGTGACAGGTTTTCATGAAACCATTTCATCTCCACATATAGAGTAAAAACAAATGGGCAAGGGATCAAGACCATTTCCCCATGTTTGAATTTCAGGTGGGAAACTCTCTCCCATTTGCTTTTATCTGGGAAATGGTGCTAAGAAGGGAATAAAGTGCCAGTTTCCATCTCTGAGTACTATTTTAGGGGTAAGACTCCTTTCCCTGACCTACCCTCCAAGCTGCCTAAAAGTTCCTGCTACCGACTGAATCTGCAATATGAGTTGTAGCTCATTTCTAAGTAGGAATAAAAGGATACAGGGAAATACAATGAAGTGTTCTGTAGCAAAGGGCTGCAGATTATCCAAGTTCCCCAAGACCACACGGATTGAATCCTGAAAAATAATTTGAAATTAATTCTGTCACATCTTAGCCAGTCTTTCCATTTATATGTCACTGCTCTTCACATATTCTATATCCTATCAAAACTGAACTACTTGCTGTTACCTGAACGTGCCCTCTCCTCATTTTCTATGCTTTCGCATAGTCTAGTCCCTCTGCCTGAAACGCATCATCAGCACATATCCAGCCTATCATTTCTCTGAAGTACTGTTCAACAGCCATCTCCTTCAGAAAGGCTTCCCTAATTCTCCAAATCATAATTAATCATTAGTCTCAAACAGTAGTCACAGAAGTTAGCTCTGGGCCTGGACTACATTCTACATACATAGGTTTTATTTTCTTTACTGGGGGATCAACTTGAAATAGAATTAGATACCTGATTTATCTCAGCATCCCTGGTGTCTACCATAGCAGATAATACATAGCAGGTCCTCAATGAATGTATATTGAATGAACAACTAACATTGGTATTTATTGATATATAGTTATTTTGCTTTTGTGTAAGCCAAACCTTTTCTTTTACTCTTTAGATCTTTAATTTTTTTTTTAGATATTTTTGCTATAACATGCATAAAATCCCTATGAGGTAGGCACTTCTATTATCCCCACTTTACAGATGAGGGACAGAGACAAAGAGAAGTGAAAACACTTACTCATTATTACACAGTTGGAAGTGATGGTGCCAAGCTCTGAACCCAGACAGTGGGGTTCCAGAGCTCAAATACTTAACTATTAGGCTAGTATTTCAATAAGTGTTTTCTAAGTGAATGATAGGTCCAGCCTCTGTGGCCCAGTAGTAACATAGTGTTCTGCAGGACTGGAAGCCACATGCTGACCACAGGGTCAGGCCTCTGGATTGACCCGCAAACACACTTGTTGTGTATGCACAGGCAGTCAAGATCCCAACGAGCCGGATGACTGAGGAAAGCGGATTGTGGCATAATGAACCCCTTCAAGGGTGCTTTCTCTTTCTCCCTCCCTCTCTCTTTCTCTTGTGTGCCCATGCACATACCCCATCATAAATAAATAATAATAATAAAGCTTATTAATTAACGAAATAAATAAATGAATGATAGGGAATGATAACATCTGACCCAAAACTGTGAGAAAAAGAAAACATACAAAAAAGCACTTTGGGGACCAGGAGTCGGCATAATGGCTATGTCGCTGGACTCCTACATAGTTGACCGCGGTTCGAGTCCCGGACCCGGTGTCTTAAACTCACGCTGGGCACATATGCGTGTGTGCCCAAGATCCTGAGAGGAAAATGGAGGAGATTGATAAATGATTTATCAAGAGTCACACAGCTAATTAGTGGCTAAATCAAGACTGGATTCCAAGGCCAGCCCCTGGAACTCTAACTCCTTTTCCAATGCTTTCATCAATTTACCAAGTTGTTCACCAGCTCAGTGAGCTTTCTGTGGGAAAACCTAAAGCTAGAGGAGCTGGGTAGACAAGGAATGAAAATGAAGTGGGAATAAAGCAATTGCAAATGTTTCCAATTAAAATAAAGACACAGCAGCCTTCTCTGTGTATTTACAGTTGAGTTTCCTGAACGTCAAGTACCAGGCAGTGGTTGGGATCGTGAGGTTTCCCAGAGTCCTGGAGGGCGGCAGTGCTCTGGAAGCTTTCTTTATGCCAGCTGCCACAAAAGAGAGCTGCCCCTGGTGAGAACTCTGGTGAAAACAAAATAATTCTTAACCTCAAAGGTGCTGACACTTCAACTAGGAGAACTGAGAAAAGAGACAGGCTTTAAATTTCCCTAGAAAATTAGTAAAGTTTCTTTGCAGAGGAAATGTGGTAGGGAGAAGCCAACTTATGAAGAGGAGGTTATGACTTGGTTTGTAGGAAATAATGAAAATCTGGATGTGGATGTATCCTTGGCTTAAAGAATAACTTTCCCAGAAGTTGTCTGCTTCTTTCTGTACCTCCAGTTCCTGGACGATGATTTCCTTATTTTCTATCTCTTCTCCTCTAGAAGGTAAATAGACAAGAGGCACGTAAGATAAGAAGAAAAGCTCTGGAGAGAGTAGACCCTTTAGAACAAAAGGGACATTTCTATTTGGCTAAAGAAACATGAAAACTACGTGCTGACCCAGTGCTCATGGGGAAGAAGTGATCACCTAGGGGTGTGGTCTGAGCATTGGTACAAGGTTGTACTAAAATGTCTTTTCCATTAACCTGCCAAAACCTGAAATTCTCACTATGAAATTTAATAATTTGTTAGACCAGTTATTTTCAAAATGCAGTCTGGGACCCTTAGGGGTCCTCAAGATCTTTTCAAAGGATCTGGAAGGGCAGCACTATTTTTACAACAATACTAAGATATTATTTGCCTTTTTCATTGTGTTAACATTTCCAAATTATCAGTGCAAAAGCAATGGAGGGCACTTAACCGATTTCACTAAACTGTACCAGCAGTCACAGTAATCTTTACTGCCACGCAGGAAAGAAAATATCCAGTTTCATTTAATGTTCTTGAGGAAACAGGACAAAATTAATAATTATATAAAATCTCAACCCTTGATTACATGTATTTTAAAACATTATGCAATAAAACAGGAAGTATGAATAAAGCATTTCCCAGCTTTCTAAAATATGGTGGTTGTCTTGAGGAAAAAAATCTTGTATGACTGTTTAAGTTGTGAAATTAACTAGTCGCTTTTTTGTGGGAGGTTTTACTTGAATAATCAGCTGACAGACAAACTCTGGTTGTTCAGAGTTGGGAGTCTGACAGATACATCTCAAAAGTGAATAAAGTGAGCGTGTCACTTCAAGGAAAACAACTGACGGTATTTGTTTTCAGTGATAAATTCTGGGCTTTCAGGTGAAAATTAGAATTTTAAGAAACTATCCACAATTTTGAGTTTGGCAGTTTCAAAATACTTAATACTTTCCTAGTAAGACTGGTAATGGTATTAAGAAATATTTTTTGATATTGTAAAATAAAATGTGCCAACATTTGGATGGACGATCTACATAAATCAGTGAACCAAACCTTTCTAAATAACTAATGAAACTCATGATGTCACGAAATCATCCTAAGTAAAACATTCATGCAAAGATCAATATAGGCCAATGGATTTTAATGTAATAGAGTTTTAAAAGTTCATTGGGGGACCAGCAGTTAGCGTAATGGCACGGGACTCCCATGTAGTCGACTGCGGTTTGCGTCCCGGACCTGGTGGCTTAAAACTCATGCTGGGCGCATGTGCATGCGTGCCCAGGATCCCAAGAGGAGAATGAAGGAGAAGGGATTGCGGCGTGGCTATCCCCCCTGGAGAATGATTTCTCACTTTCTGTCTTTCTCTGTCTGTCTGGTGAGCAGGCGCGCCTTATGGCAAAAACCTCTCCAAAAAAAAAAAAAAAGTTCATTGGGGCCAGGTGGTGGCACAGTGGTAATGCATCTGGACCCACAAGGGAAAAGTTCTGGGTTCACATCCCAGGACTTCCTGAGCATGCCAAGTGCACTTGTGTAGATGCCTGTGATATGGGCAGATAAAACTGGATTGCAGCATGAAGATACTTTTGGGATGTGTGTCTGTCTCTCTCTCTCACACTCTCTTGGAAGAAATAAATAAAACAAACTTTAGAAAAGAGTTCACTGATATAATTTCAGATTCTAAATTGCAACTAACCTTAAAAAAAAAAAAAAAAACTACCACTTTAAAAAAAAACAAAACTACCACTTGTCAAGTTTTGATGGAGAGTCAAAGAAGAATATGCACAATGATCTGAAAGGGCTGTTAATATATTCCTACTTTTCCCAACTACAAATCTATGTGAGCTGGATTTTTTCATATAATTCAATCAAAAAGAAAAATTCACAACATATTGAAAAAGGAGATACAATAACCTAGCAGTCTTCTTTTTTTTGGGAGAGGTTTTTGTTATAGGGCACGTGAGCTTGCCAGAAAGACAGAGAGAGACAGAGAGACAGAAAATGAGAAATCACCCTCCAGGGAGGATGGCCATGCCACAATCCCTTCTCCTCCATTCTCCTCTTGGAATCTTAGGCACGCATACATGCCCAGCGTGAGTTTAAGCCACCGGGCCCGGGACTTGAACTGCGTTCAACTACATGGAGTCCAACGACATAGCCACTACAGTAACTGCTGGTCCCTTAGCAGTCTTCTGTTAAGACAGGCGTTAGTGAGATTTGTAGAAATGTGAAACAATGCCAATCTTCTAAAGTTTTAAAATAGAACAATTTGAACTCAAGTATTTCTTTGCTGTAGCTTATTTTCTCCAAGTGGGGAGAGTAATAACACAGAGAGAGAGAAACAGAGAAAGGACCCCCTCTGCCCAATGCCTTGGCTGTCCTGATGCCACACAGCACAATCCACTCCTAGATCATGGGCAAGAATGCACCCTATGTACTCAAGGAGGTCTCTGGACTTTAACTGTGAACATTCCCATGTGGAACTGCCTTGCAGAGTGTTGTTTTACTGCTGCACTACAGTCTAGACCATTCTCAAATGTTATTTTTTTTTCTTAATTTTTCCAGAAGGAGTGTGGACTCACCAGAGAGAGATGAGGACAGAGGTGAGGGGAGTGAGAAAATACTCATCATGGATAATGGTCACATTGTAATCCCTTCTCTTCCATTTCTCGCTCCTTTTGGGATTTTGGGCATACGCACACATGCCTGGCATGTTTCTCAAGCTGCCAGATCTGAGATTTGAACTTGTGAAGTCAGCTATGTGAGATCCAGCCACCATACCATGGGTCCCCTATGTATATTTTTTAAATGGTTATCTTTTTGTTGTTAAGTTGTAGGACTTTTTTTGTTGTTCTTTTTAGAGACATTTTTGCTATAGGGCATGTGTACTCATCAGAGACAGAGAGACAGAAAGCAAGAAATCAACCCTCAAAGGAGATCATCCTCAGGGGGCATCCCTTTTCCTCCATTCTCCTCTTGAGATTTTGGGCACACATGTACATGTGCCTGGCCTGAGTTTCAAGCCACCAGGATGGGACTCAAACTGTGATCAATCATGTGGGAAGTCCAGTGACATAACCACTATACCATCTGAGTTTCAAGACCCCAGGTCTAGGACTCAAACTATGGTCAACCATGTGGAAGTCCAATGATATAACCACTATGCCATCTGTCAGTCCCAAGGGCTTCTTTTATATTCTAGTTCAAGGTCCCCAACCTTCAGACCATGGACTGGTACTGATCTGTGGCTTGTTAGGAACATAACAGGAGGGGAGTAGTGGGTGAGTGAGCAAAACTTCATCTGTAGTCACAGATTTCTTTTTAGTCACTCCCCATCAGTCACATAACCACTTGACCTCCGCCTCTGGTCAGATCAGCAGTGGCATTAGACTCTCACAGAAGTCCCCAGATGGGACTGTATAGTTGAAGAAAAACAAGCTCAGGGCTCCCACTGATTCTGCATTATGGTGAGCTGTATACTTATTTTATTGTATATTACAATGTAATAATAATAGAAATAAAGTTCATAATAAATATAAGAGATTTAATCATCCTGAAACCACCCTCCATTCCCGGCCTGTGGAAAAACTGTCTTTCATGAAACCAGTTCCTGGTGCCAAAAAAAGGTTGGGAATCACTGTTCTAGATATTAAACCCTTATCAGCTATATGAGTTGAAAATATTTTCTCCCATTTTGTGGGTTGCTTTTTCACTCTGTTACATGTCATTTGACACACAATTTTTTAATCTCAATTCTCCTCTTGGGATCTTGGGCACACATGCACATGTGCCTGGCATGAGTTTAAGCCACCAGGTCCAGGACTTGAACCATGTTCAACTACTTGGGAGTCCAGCAACATAGCCATTATGCCAACTGCTGGTCCTGCTTATTTTTTTGGTATCATATTTAAGAAACCATTGCTAAATCTAAAGTCATGATGATTTGCCCCTATATTTTCTTCTAAGAGTTTTAATACTTTCAGCCCTTAATTTTATGTCTTTGTTCCATTATTAGTTAACTTTTATATATTGTGTAAGGTAAGGGTTAAACTTCATGCTTCTCATTTTTTTAAAGAATTATTTATTATTATTATTATTGTTAATATTATTTTTCACATGAGTTTTGCCAGAGAAAGACAGAGAGAGAGAGAGAGAGAGAGGGAGAGTGAGAAAGCAAGCCGCCAGGTCCGGGACTCAAATCATGGCTAGACATGTGGGAATTCCAACACCGTAACCACCATGCCACCTGTTGGCCCATGCTTCTGATTTTTCAGAAGCATATCTGTATTTCATTTCCCCAGAACTATTTCTTAAAAAGACTGTTCTTTCTCTATTGAATGATCTTGGCACTCTAGCTAAAAATCAATTGGCCATTGATAGGAGGGTTTTTTTTTTTTTTAAAGGAATTATTTTAGTTACCTTTATTTATTTATTATATATTTTTAATTTGACCAGAGAGAAACAAAACGAAACAGAGAGAGAGGGAAAGTGAGAAAGCAAGCTGCCAGGTCTGGGAGTTGAACTGTGGCCGGCCATGTGGGAATCCAGCACCCTTAACCACCACGCCACCTGCTGGCCTTGATATGAGGTTTTTTGTTTGTTTGTTTTTTGTTTTCTTTTTTCACTTTTTGCTGGAGGGGGCATGAGCTCACCAGAGAATGACAGCAAGAGCAGGAGGGGGCGGGGGGGGGGGGGGCAGCACACCCCCTCCCCATGGGGAATTGTCACATTGCAATCCCTTCTCCATTTCTCCTTTAGGCATTTTAGGCATACATATATTCGAGCCTCGCCTGTTTTTCAAGCCACCAAGTCTAGGACTTGAAGCACACAGTCAGCCATGTGAGATCCAGCTACCTTAACCACCATGTCACTAGCTGGCCTAATATGAGGGTTTATTTCTGGGCTCTCAATTTCATTCCATTGATATATGTCTGTCCACAGCCTAGTATTACATTGTTTTTTTTGTTTTGTTTTTTAAGAGAGACTTTTGCTATAGGGCACGTGCATTCACTGGAGAGACAGAGAAATCACC